GATGGGCATTTCAATGGGTAAACAATACTGAAACCAAAGCTTTTTTTTCTTGGTTAAATCCAAGATTAAAACTTCCAAATCGTCAACATTTGTCAGGTTCTACTCTTACTCATGCAGTAAATGAAATTGAGCAATCACATCGAATTAAACTTAATCAAACATATGAACAAGCTGGTGTAATGCTAGTTTTTGATAGCTGGAAAAATGTTTTAAAACAAGAATTACTTGGAACTATGCTTGTTTTACCTTCTAGTGAACCAATTGTTTGGAAAGTATTAGAAATTAGTGGAGAACGTAATCATGCAGTAGATATTCTACTAAAAATTAAAGAATTAATAGATGATTTACATAACGAAAATATTAAGTTAGCAGCAATTATAAGTGATAGTGCAGCTTCCTATGCTTCAGCGTGATATGTAATTTATTAACTAAATATTATAATAAAATTTTAATAATTTAGTATAAATTTTGTTTCATTATAATAGATAACAATTTCGTTTAAAATATCTGGACATTATATTCTTACCTTGTTTTGCACATCAGTGTAATCTAGCTTTGGGTGAAATTTTTAAAGAATCTGAAGTTTTCTCTAAAGCTTCAACTAAGGCTGCAAAATTGTTTTTATATTTTACTCATCCAAATAATGCATATTTTATTGCCAAATTACATACTATTCAAAGGGAATTATACAACAAATATTATACTATCATAAAGCCAAGTGATACACAATAGAATTCTTATTACGATTGTTATAAAAGTTTAATACGTACTAAGCAAGCATTGCGAGTAAGTATATGAGTACTACAAAGAGAAAACTTGTAAGTAAATATTTGAGTTATCACTGCAGCATTACTGCAGTGATAATTCGAATATTTATTTATAGGTTTTCTTTTTGTAGTACTCAAATATAAAAAATTTATATTATCTAATTTATTAATATTTAAAAATTATTATAATTAAAGAATTTAGCAATTCGATATGAAAATCCTAATGTTGATGCGTCAATATCCCAAAGAGCTGAAGAATTATATTTGTCAGATAATATTTGTCAAATCATATTTGATAAAATATTTTGGTCACAAATTTCTTTACTTTCAACCTTAATGTGACCATACTGTGGAGCTCTTGATAAACTACAAGCTGATAAAGCTCGATTATTTGAGATTGCACTAT